AGTGTATGTACATCCAACTAACAGTCAATATTCAGGTAATAACAAGATATCCACATAAGACGCTATCTGCCAACAGAAGTCGGGCAGTCTATTCCACTAAAAACAACGAGGAATTACAAGTATCAAGATATAGTAAAATAACTAAGCTGAAAAGAGATTCACGAATAAAATCAATGAAAAAATTATTTACAGATATATGAGATCCTAATAATAGGCTTGCCCATAAACAAGCGAAGCTATAGTCTGATGTTCAAATCAATCTGATCTGTTTAACGAAATCTGCAAATTAACGTGAATGAGTTTCTAACTACTTACGTTATTAAGTAGTATACTTCTGAAAGTTATCCAATGAAAATGGTTTAAGAATTTTTGTACTCAGTAAAATATAGTTTATCATAAAAGTCATACAAAAATGTTAGTTGTTTATCGTTAGTAAGAAATTCTAATGCAGCATATTGATAAAAAGTTTTAAAACGATGAAATGAGTATACTGATTTATAATTAGCGTACACAGAAAAGAATGTCAGTTACATGATAGGTAAATAAAACTGAGTACATCTAAGTGATTTACGCCCCAAAGGAAATAGTAAAGGGAATAGAATGTAAAGTGGTAAGTCCCAAAAAAAAAAGAAGATGAACTGGGACATTATTTTATTTTGGGGGAAATATATTGAAACTGTGAAAGATTCACTTTGTCAGCAAACACTTCTGTTATCTAACACTAAAAGTATATTTATGCAAAAACCTATGCTTTACATCTATTTTAACTTTTTATCACATGTAAAAAGACTCGAAACTGTAACCGATTCCGTCGAAAATTTTGGTGTTTTTTATATATAAAGTTAATTAGTGTGTCTAGAGAATACAGCTTATATCATGAAGTTCTATACCTAAATATATACCTCCATTCTTTTATGAACTTGAAAACAATAAGACTAATTATCTGGAAAGATCAAAAGTCTCCATAAGAAACTATAAGAAGCATAAAAGAATTGAGAGGGATAGAGAGAAAGAGAAAAAAAATGAAAAGAAATTACGGTACATAAAAGGTTGATTTTTATTTCATCAAGTTTCATCGGTAATGATATCGCATTCAACAAATAAATAAATATCAAGTTGGTATTCCTCATGGACTGATATAATGCAGAGAACTATCGAAAACCTGAGAGCATCGGTGATGAGATGGCTTGGACACCTCCTAACTCAACATGATATGCTAGTGGAGGCTGCATTAGATTAGAGGAAGGTTCAGGATGGTTAGGCTAGGATGAGGCATCAGTTCCATGAAGTCCCTGACTGCTGATCAGAACGGTGTTGGAGTCCACGAGATAAAATCGGTCATAACGGCGAAGATTTACTCACTATTTGACATCTTCGAAAGCTTGAATATTTGCACTAAATTTTAACTTGAAACTGTTTATTCTCTCACAAAACCTTTTTCACTTAGATATTACTCTTTTTCTATTCGCTTGTTCTTTGTGTACTGTTGTTTAGGATAGCCACTTGAACTGATGTATTTGTATGCGAGATTCTACGTTGAGATTTTCTGTCTGTTGGTTGGGTAGACAGCCGTTTCGTCCCAGGACGAGACTCTTCGGCGGTACACACAGTTGACGCTGCCGGATGTCAAGCCCAGGACCTTCAGGTCTCGTGGTCAGGACGTTAACGTTGAGCCAATGGGTTGAAACCCAATCGTCCAGTTTTCTTACCGTTTTCAGTTGACCATAAAGCAAGAAAGGCGTCTAGTGTTTCATCCATGACAAAAAATGTGCAAGTAATTCTAACGATTGATGTAAGCGCAGTCAGTAATTTTGGTCGAAATATTGCCAAAATTCAATAACTTGGTCCGTTAAGAAAAATAGCTTAATACCAACCACTTTATACCAATCACCAGTGGAAACAACGTCACCAAAAGTTGTGGAAAGATATACGACTGAAAGAAGGAGAATACAGTTGAACACAGAATGCAACATAGACTAGAATGAAGATAAATTATGAATGCAGCTACGACATTATAACCGACTTTCAGTTATATCAACTAAGAGTCTTCAACTATGTTAGTTGGATGGAGGGAATCGGCAGGAAGCCATGTACCTAGTTCTCGTACTTTTTGGCACTTGCTAGCAAGGCGTATCTGCAACCTCAACAGGACTGATGTTCCCTGGGAAATCCGAACCCACGTTCTCCAGTTTCACAGTCAGAGACGCTGCTACTGAGCGGTTTGGGCCGTGATTGACCTCCTGTAGGAATGAAATGATTGGCCACTGACCAAATTTTACCTATCATTTTGCAGTGTGGCCACCATGCTAGGTGACTCAGCATCATGATGCACTTTGATGGATGTTAGCTGTTCGTTTCCATCTATTGATTTTGGTTATTTTATGGTCGCTTACATTTCCCTATCAGATTCAGACCAATAGTAGAAAACTTCAAGAATTCGTGTAAAGTTTGAGTCTACCCAACCTTAACTTCTTCCGACTTAATAAGAATTCACATAGTAAAGCACCTTTGGGTGAACAGGAAATCGATATGTGTAACCTATATTCTAGTAAAGTTGGTCCCCAGATGTTAGTGACAATGACTTAATGAGCATTACAACACCTTATAGTCTGAATGGTTAACTTTAAAGAAATAAGTGTCAACTGAAATCTAGAAAGTTAAAGTACGTAGCAACTTGAGGTAAGCAGTTAAAGTAATGTCATGAAAGTAGAAATAAACACCAGGGTTGAAAAGCAATGTAATAACGAAACGAAAAAGGTGAAAAAGTCAACTTTTAGGGCTCAAACTCTAAAAAATTGAATCAGAAAATCGAAGGGAAACGTTCCGCTGGATGCACAATCCTAAATTTTACTTCTGTACTCTTAATTTATTTGGTGGTGGCTAGCAAAGGAATCCAGAAAGCATGCTTAGTCCTGTTTGGGGCTCTTCAGCTGGACATATCCGCACCTTAGTGAGTGACAATGTCCCACTAGGACTCAAACCTAGTGACACCGCTCCAAACGTAAAAGTCTTATCCAACAAACCATTGAGGCGCCAGAGAGACCTCTTGAGCAATGAGTATCAGTTACTATTATTTACTGATACTTGTAATTTCCAACTGCTATTCTGCAACGAATTGATCGACGTCTACTGCCATATAGCCTCCTATGCGGGTGCCTCAGTATTGCCTGACTATCGATTATCGTATACTTTCTTTAGTGTTGGATAGAATAAGAGCACATATGAGAATAGGGATCAATCAATTCGACCCAGAACAACAACATGAAATTAAAAGTATCAATAAATAGTGGTAAACTATACCCGTTTCACAAAAGATGGCTCATATGGATAACACTATGGCGTTTGAAGCAATAGATGTAGAGTTAGAGTCTCAATAGGAACAACACTACTCACTGGGGTCCAGGTACATCCAGCTGACGAGCAACAAATAAAACGAAATGTACGTCCTGGATTACGCTACTAATCACCCCCAAGCAAACTTCAAGGTAATCAATAAGCAAGCAATATTTAGGTATTCGTATACGACACTATACGCCAACAGAGGCCGGTCACTTCGATCCAGAATAACAAACGGTAATTTGAAGTATGAATAAAAATTTTACTAGAGTACAATTAAAATGTCATTAATTCAAATTAGATACTTCATTACAAACCTATATCTTATGGAAGTACGTGATTACTGTTGACAAAACAGGGTAAACATAGATAACTACATCATCTACAATACGGTCAAGGTTAAAATTGTAGAACATGTTCAAAGTTTTCATTTACCGTTTACCAGACTTAACCAACTATCATCCTGCAAGATAACTACGTGATGATTATGAACTTAATGTCCACAAAATCAAAGGAATTGAATACCTTAAGTGGCATGAACGATATCTAGATTGTCAAAGTGAAGTTCTCAAAATATCTTGCAGTAAATATTGAAAGCTTTATTTTGATGTAATTTATATTCAGTTCTACTAAATCCTTTCTTTCTTAGAAAGAAGTTAGTGCTTTTCAGCAAACGGTGACATTCTATATAATAAGTCTCTATATATGCCTCCCTAGGTTTTCTGCAAGTCCTTGATAAATTCTAAATCCCAGATTGTAAACAGTACGCAATGTTGCATTAAATGACTAACTTTCCAAAGTATCTCTCAGTTATTACTTTCTTGAGGAATAAACAATTTTTCATTTATGATGGGTCGTGGCTAGCAATGGAATCCAAAATGCACATTTCGTCCTATTTGGGACTCGTCAGTTGGGTGTACCTGCCTCCCAGTGAGTGTGTTGTTCCCACTGAGATTCGGACTCGGGAGCGATCGCTTCAAACGCCAGTGCGTAATCCACTACACCACCTAGTCACGATAGCCACTTCTTGTACAACGGGTATAGTTTTCAGTATAATTGTTTCTATATGATACCGTCGTTGATTGGACCGAATTGATCGGTCTCTATTGGAATATGGGCTCCTGTGCCAGTGTTCTCATTATTCTGATAATTCCAATAGAGATCGACCAATTCAGTCCAATCAACGACGGTATCATATAAAAACAATTATACTGAATTCTTCATTAATTTTACTAACGATTTTAGAAGAAACTTTCAATGTACTAAAATGAGCAGACGTTATCTCATCAGAGAGTTGAAAACCACTTCTGAAAGTTGGTTTTAGTGTACTATTAGAGATCAACAGAGAAGACAGACATCACTTATGTTTATCTGCGAAACAAGACACCCGGTTTGCTTCTTTTTGGCTAAGTTCATTAACAGTTTACAAATGAAAAACATTGAGCTCAGACAAGTAAAGTTATTTTATATCCTACTTGTATATTTCTAACCGCTGGGTATTGTCAATAAAACATACAACTTCATACAACAAAGACTTAAGCTTTTCATCAGCTCACTATAAAATATTTTCGAGTAGAAATTGAAACAAACAACAAACTTGGTAATATCTAATACAACTGAAAGATATATCATGTGTTATAGATCTACAAACAAAGAGAACATACTATACGGAATGCTTCTGTAGCGTCTGTTCCAGCATATTCCATTAGAATATCGAATCCCCCAGGATGGTAGGCAGCAAATTTGGTGATATCATATACTACCGCTAGAAATTAGAAAAAATACACATTTAATAACAAATCGTTGATGGTGTATGAGACAAAATTTAATGCAAAATAGGTCCTGAGTTTGAAAATATATTCTTTAGGATACCTTAAACAAGGAGTGAAAGAAATGTTAAACATCCCAAATGATACTTTTCAGTCAGACCATTCAATGCTTTTTAAGTATCAGCAGTCAAACAAAAAGTGTGTTTTAACCCAACTAAGTGAAAAGATGAAACAACTTCATGCATATTGCGTAGTAACTGAGTAACTGAAGGGGTAAAATAATAAAAAAAACGCTATCATACCCAGCAGGCAATAGAACTACTGAAAAACTGAGTATGCATTCAAGAATAATAAAGTATAATAACCACTTGAGGCAAGGAACTACATAAATAGTTCAGCAGAACTCCAGGTAAATTTGTCAAGACAGGACAGACCATAAAGAAAGATAAGTGGTGGATAGGTGTTTTAACAGACCTGTTCTTCTTCAGTTTAATAGTATATCGCTGTACAACTAATTTTGCTACTCTCCCAAACGTCCGAACAACTTTTTAGGGAGTTAAAGGTACTTAGGTAACCGTAAAATCATTTCCCTAGCTGTCAAATTAATATTCACGAAGAACCGAAGATATTGAATTTGATATTTTCAGAACAATAGTGTAGTAGTCCTTCAAGTGACAGTACTGTTTACTTCATCTGGATCAAGTACCGTCCGAAAACACCATTTTTAACTTACTAATAATGATGAACACTTCTTAGAGCATGTGGCTAAGTTCCTTAAAGTTCATAAATAAGCGTTTTACGAGACGTTCTTAGCCAATTAATTAGATATGTGAACCAGGAGAATGACTGCAGAAGCCGCATTGTGAAGACTGGAATCTATAACTTCATGAATAATCAAGAAGAAGATTGAGGTAGATCATGTCAACGATAAATTCGTTGTAACTAGGACACCTAACCTACAAAACAACTCACGATAAGACATATAAACGAACAGTATTGTTTTCAATTAGATCCTCTTCAGGCTTTACTCTGATACAAATAGTTTATATATATATATATATATATATATATATATATATATATATATATATATATATACGGAAAGGGGCAGATAAAACCCACCAGAAGTTCGGTTATATCCCACCTCGTTGATAGTGTTCACTTGGTAGATAAGAGCAATGCTTTCATAATTATTCACCGCATACCATATCATCTTTCGAAACGTATTCGAACTCGTCTCTTACACTACATAGCAGAAGCTGTGGGAACTCTAGCTTATAATCCTAGTTTTTGTATCCAGAAGAAATTTGTACATCCCTTATCTCTCCCTCGGCCAGGAAATACCTAGTTAATAACTTATCACTAAGATTTTTCCTACCCCTTTTCTTACTCTTCACCCCTTTCATATACTTACTGTGTTTGTCTAGACTTTGTTTACTCACTTACCTCGTCCTTCAGTATTACGTACGTTTGGTTTTCAAAGATTTTGATCCACTTTCATTATCGGAGTGTGTATATTTTCATGCTACTTTTTTGGTTCTTATCAACATTAAATTTTGAGGGAGTTGTGGAGATTTAGAAATATTTCAAGTTGTTATTCATCGTAGACTGACATCAGTTGGAGGAACAAAGGAAACCTGGGGTACTGGAGAGTAGCTCAATGGTAACGCGCTGGCCGCGGAACCTGAAGGTCAGGGGTCCGGTCCCTGGCGGGGTCGTGGTGCGCACTGCTGAGGAGTCCCATACTAGGACGAAACGGCTTATCAACATTATCATCTACATTCCATGTGCTTTAGTCAACGTCATCACTTGTCATTATTATTATTTGTATAATTATCGCCATTGTTATCATAAAACATTTATCACATACATTAACCAAGAAATCTATATGATTGGTTTCATTTTATCAATATTAAGCTATTTTTATTAGAGTAAAGCCAGAAGAGGATCTAGTTGAAAACAATATTGTTCGCCTATATATCTTGTTCTAACTCACGAATAAGCAACATTGCCAAAAATGCCAAAATGTCGAATAGAGACATTTCTAATCTTTAGATGACTTTAGAGACAAAAAAAAACATCAAAACTGAATACACTGATAGTCATGTGATCAGTGTACATCGATAAGAAATGTTCAACTGCAACAATAACAGCTCAGTGGTAAACAAACTGAATAGTACGAATATATTATTACGAATAGTTAGCGTCCACAACAATACTATTAGCGCAGTGAAAACTAAAGGGAAGTGTCTCATAGCCACTTTTAAGAACAGTTATTCACACAACTCTTTCAGAAGATGTTTATTGAGTTCATTATTACACAATCAATTATAAAATCTAAACAAAAATCACCATATATAATGATAGTTTGAGAAATTATTACTTTCGATGTGTTATATTACAGAAATCAAGATGAATAAGTCATGTTGTATGCAGTTGATAACGGGAAATCAATAAAAACATATCAATTTATCTTACTCAGGAAATCCTGTTCTCACTATTCTGTTCACTATGATTAAGGGGAATATCCAAATCAACAATGCAGCATTTATTAGAAAAACTATATCATTTATGAGCAGTGATATGCTGGAGGTAGTATGTAGTATCTTGGCGTACATCAGTATGAATTGGTTACTAAATCACAAAACTGCATCTTTCATATTAATGATTATGGGCAACTACAAACATAAATCCAACTAGGAAAGTACACCCCAACCGATAACTGCTAGCTTGATCTGACGGTCATGTTTACTGTGTCACGATGACCTAACGAGCTACACCAGCTGGAACGTTTGTGCGCTCAACGTCCTACCATACCAGAAACTTCTATTGGATATTGGTAAGAAAAGAAGCACTTACCGTCGTAGTATAAATTGCTTCATTATTATGGGTGTCTGAGGGTGAAATCGTACTGCTGGCTGTATGGGTGTGAAGTCACTGGGATGCTTTCTGCAAACGACCAGCAGTACCATGCTGATGCTGTCTTTCCTGTGAGAGATTTGGAAAGGTCGACCCTAAAAACAGCCCATTTCCACCTATCCTACGGTATGGGTCTTGGAGATAAATTCCAAATAACTTCTAAAAAGGTAGTACGTGAACAGCCACAAGCAGATATCGCTTAAGGTGCCCAGTCACGCATCACTATTACTTACCTAGTTTCCCCTTCAGGCACCTTCTACGGAGTGGGAGGCCGAGAAGTGCCGACTACCCTCACAACTCTTTCAGTGCTCAAGTTCTCTCAGATATGCATAAAACGCAAATCAAAGAATTTCTAAACGTTTAGCGCTGACATCAAACAAATTTCAGTAGTCATTATGATACCTATTTACTCTATTAACTAATATGCAGCAGTTCAGTTAGTGGTTTGCAGCGATTTGTTGGTATGAAAATGATTTTTATCACCACATAAAATCTGTTGGGGAACCAATAAAAACTTTTAAGTAGTGGACAGTGGCTGTATACACAATACATAACCCAAGAGAGGTCAAATATTTTGAGATGAAGTTAGAAAAAATTTAGTACAGATACAGGCGTGTTATATGGGACCAGAATTTCTGCAGACTTGGGAAGTAAATAGGCAGGCCCATCTTCCGTTCGACATTTCTGCTGATGACGCTATCTAGAATGATGTTAAAATCTTTATAATTAGCCAGCCTTATCACTATTTATCTGGTCTATGAAGTTCTGTTATCATGGCAAAATCCATGCCTGCTATGTAGATGATTTCAATTCAAAGTAAACAATCCAAACTTCACTCCATCATAAAATGATTAACAACATAACGAGATGATTAATCATTTGATTGCAAAGAAAAAAACAACAGAAAACGATATGAAATAATAGAGCATTTATAATATGATCTTACTTTTCCCTTGATGATTTAAAGCTATCCACATATCATCAGATTTTGTATGCTTTGTTAATTCAGCAGAATCTATTTCCATATTCGTTGGTTGTTCCGATAAATACTTTTCACTCCTACTATACGCATTCCAATGACCAATACCTCTAGATTTGAAGTAATACAAAAAGAAAATAGCGAAACCAAAGTAGCTATGTAATTTTCAGAAATATGACTACGAAAAGCGTACAACATAACTGGTTGTATACTATTCACATCAAGATAAACAGACAGAGATGACTAGATCCTTCCTACTTACCGATCTCTCTCAATGATGCGCGTCATACTACAAGCTCAGCAAGCTCTTACAACGTAGCATACAAAACTGTAAGGTATGTCACCCGTATGAAAAAGCGAAGTAGGGTTTAAAAACATAATTCAACGGTTAGACTGCTGAACCACAGTTCCTTACTACCATATATTACACACGGCATGATGATGACAATCCTTTAAGCTATCTGTATCGATAAGGAAAATAATACAAATCCTAAATTTTCATACACATTTCGATAACGACCGTACTATTTTACGGGCCGACTGAGGTTGAAAACTTTGAACCGCTAGATTTTAATGCAGCTGCTAAATGGTGATGTCCTCAGTGGGAGACCTAGAGATTCCAGGCTTGACTGAGTGTATGATCGTCGAGGTGCATTGTAGAAGAATCTTGAACGATAATATAAAAGAGATATTTACTACTTTCAGTATTTTTTCTATCAGGAAACAAACTTTAAGTTGAGTTTGTTCTTGTACACTAACGTTTATATCAGAAATTTATGCATAAGGCATTTTTCAGTGTGAGAAGTAACACGCACTTAAGTTTCGAATTCATGAGGATATACATATGAAGTTTTATAGAGCAAATTTATGAATCCTGCCAGAAAAACAATCCAACCAAATATACCTCAAATCTCTTATATGGGTAGGACAAAATTATGCCACTAGTCGCTTCGATGAGCTGATACTGATTCACTTGCACCTGCTATGCTAAGCATACAAGCCCTACACAAAAATAATGTCTAACACTGAAGCCAACAATTTCTAACATGGCTCAGTAAGAATAAACAGGAGAAAAACAACAAGTTTATCGTAAAGCATTTAGTTGACGGTTGCGATACTTTAAAAAATTCATTTTTTTAGTGATCTAAATAAAACAGTACAATCTTCTAATATGTGTGAAGAACAATCTATTTTGCATTGATGATGCTTAGGAAGTCAAAACTGGAATTGTGTATTCACAAGCAGCTTCTCCACCCAGTTGTGAACATTTCAATGCTTACACACTTCTCATCTTTTGTTTTCTATTACATTATTACATGAATGGTTAATCAGAAGTTCATTTCAAATTCCTTCCTGTCTGATAACCACTTACTCATTGCATTATGCATTCTTAACTTCTTGGCTTCAAGTCATACTTACTTCACCACGGTTACTATTTTCAACTATTTTACAGCCAATAAGTTTTAACCTTTTCTCCAAAATAATCTTTGACTGTAGACTAGTAAATATACTGCTCTTCTTAGCGTTTTTACTCCACAACGTGTATCCTTACCTGTTTGATGTGACCAAAACTTACACTTAGGTAGGGTAGTGAGTAATTCATTACTGGTGCATATTGATATAAAACTGGTCACGCGTCATGTAATAACAATACAACCAGTGTATTACAAACTATTTCAGTGCAAAACAAAAGTAATTCAAAACAAATCCAACTTTAAACGAATAACCCAACTACTAGATGTCTATCATACAACTTCTATAACCCTTTAGGTTATTTCAACTGCTTTGTACAGAAATCTTTAAGCAGGAATTTAACAGACTAAAAATGCTGTTACTTCTTACAGAAAAGTGGTCTACATAACCAACAATTCCTGAAAACATGTAACAATGATGACAGATACGTTAGTACGCCACACGGTAGGTTAGTCCTATGTAGTAAAAACGAATGGCTTCTCAGACAGAGACAGGCTAAATTACAGATACTAACAATCAGTACAACATGTCGTCATAATCAGAATTAAATCTTACTTCGGATAGCAGATCAACATTACTAGTACGAACTAGGCACCCGACTTTCAAGAAATATGTGAAGTGCTGAAAATCCTTCTCAGTTTATTTCAACCTAAGCAACCAGATAGTTTCACAAATCTATACACACTAAGTATGACTTCAAAGGCAGTACATAGACTTTTGCCACAATATGGATTTTAGGTGTTATCATTAATCTTTCAGACATTTTTAAAGAGTGGGATGTGACAGCTTTCATAACCGCAACCCATACCACAACTAGGAAGCATAAGTCTATACTTTTATTATGCATGAAGCACAAATGTACACTGTTTTCAAGGTGTCAGTGGACTTCTTAAGCGTATCCTCCTCAAATAAGCAATTTTTGACTCCTCTTCCAAACAAATCGATTGCCTATACGATACCAAGAGACGATTTTTGGCCTGAAGTACATACAGTTGACGGAAACATTCTGAATACTATTAATCTGCTCTACAAAGGGTCTGATGCTCGATCGTTTGTTGTCGATAGCTTTGGTGGACCAATGTAGCCTGTAATAATTGTGACACACTTCTTGACACGCATATTCTACATCAGTTGTGCTCAAAATAAAGTACAAAACAAACAGCCTGGGGAAATTCTTGGTCACAGCTTTTCTTCTCGAATAGAATATGCAGTACAAACATAAGGTTTCGTCGGGCTCACAGAAGTTCTGCAAATATTTTTGTACGAGAGATTTACAAGGACTAAATAGATAAACAGACAAAACCAAAGTAGAACCTCTCACAGAAAGAAGTGTATTGTTTCAAGTTGACAGAAGGTAAAGAACAAGTGAATAGGAAAATAGTAGTAATATTAAAGTAAACGGATGTGCAGGAGAGAAGGAGTTCGAAAATGGTTAAACTTCACAGGATGTCAAGAAGTGAATACACCTGCGTTACTGTGGTTAATTTTCTATGATGTCAACAAGGGTCTCCAATCACCGATTCCTACTGTACACACTTTCTGTTAGGATAGAATGCGAGAAGACTGGAAAATGCAAGCAAATCACGAAAATTCCGTTTATGGATGAAATTTTTGCCATAGCTGAAGGATATTCAGGTCACCACTTCCATAGTCTTGTATGAACACCTAACACTTATCTAAAACTCACCACGAATGTAGTCAGTCTTTAGGCCACCCCGTTTTATTCCCAATTACATAAATCGAAATATCAATTCCGGAATCAGTCCGAAACACTAGCAGCTCTTACACACTTAGGTGACGAGTTGCAATCACTTGAGCATACTAATGTCATCAAGATCAGGTAATGATTACGTTTACGAAACTATAACAAGAATACGAAAAAGCATCCCTGATGAATTGAAAAAAAACGAGCGATACTTTCCAACGCCATAATTAGGTATATTTTTCAACTAACTCTCTCGTTGTCAGAACGTTGAAAGTTATAAACTTCAATGATATGCATACTTTTAACGCAGCTGAAATAGGCATTGTAAATGAGGACAACCCTAGCGAATCAACCATTTTTTTAACTCAAAATTAAAAAAAACTACCAAACGCCGTGTTTTAGAGTGAAACAAAGACAATAGCAATATAAATTTTAGATTAAAGATGCTAATTAACGCAGCGAACACCAAAATCAGCGTTTTACAGTACTGTATGCAGTCCTACTAAGCTGTACACCTGTGGTTCATTTGAGTAGATTCCCAACCACTAACTGTAGAACAAGGGCTATGAGACATAAGGAATTGTCCTGGCCTCAAAATTGGGATAGCATCACAATTCTAAATATAAAGGATGGGATTGAAAGTGAATTACGTGGACAATGCCTGATACCTCAATTATACCCTCACAGTAGCTTAACAAGCACAATTTTATGCACTATCTACCCCTATGAAAAGTCGAAACTCATTTGCGCTACCAGTAGGAAACAAAGTTTCTCCTAGACTTTTTTGAATAAATATGTTAACAGTGACACCCAATAAAGGACATATGCTTTTACTTGATGTTTCCGATAACCACTCTGCATAAAATTAGAGTAATGAGTTTTGTCTTGAATGATAAAGTGTTACAAAAAACCGGTCAGTAAGCTGTTGTCTCAGCATTTTTTGTGGTTAAAAAACTGTTTTTAATAGGCAGACAAAAAATCAACGTAGATACTGGTACAGAAGTGGATCATACTCGTTTTCAAAATATCAAAGGATTCCGAAATCGAGCGGATATGAAAAGAATCTCATTAAAGTGAATAAAAAGCATGAGAGAAGAAACAAGCACATATATGTTAGTGAAAATGTTCACATTTTGGAAGCTGATAAAAAAACGTACATCTGCAACACTGTAGTCGATTGTGAACAATATCGCAAAGACTCATGAGAGATGGATTCCTGACATCTAAAGGAATTTTATCCATACATCCAACATCTCCCCATAACGCCCAAGGTAACAGTTAGAAACTTTATGGATTGGCGCAATGTTTTGGTATGCTTATCCTTAGCTTTTGTTGACCAAACTCTGTTTTTCCTAACTTTAGGTCTTTACGCAGTTCAGAACGTTAATTTGGTACCCCGCTAGCATACTACATTCGATATAATCGAAATATTAATATCTCTCAAACCTCCACTATACAAAAACCTAGATATGGGTGCATTTACTTCTTGTAACTCTTTCGGTTATTATTAGGAAACAGGGATTCTTATTGTGATTACAGCCTGAATTACAAGGCCTGATAAATACGGCTTTGCAGCATGAAGTATTGAATTCATGACTAGGAATAGAACACAGATAACCACAATTGTGTCAAGTTAAAATGTTTCGACCGGTGTACATCCATTTATTCTGTTGTTAATTCCACTCGAGTTGCTAACACAACTTCAAGGCTTCCATAGATTATCATACCAGTTACTCGACATGTCTAAGAATATCTTCAATTGCTCATTTATTGACTATACTACCTCGACATTACAGAAATGTAACGATGAATATAACTCAACGATGCAGCAGTATTCTATATAGCTGTACTTAATACTGGTAAGCTGATTGAAAACGTCGAAAATAAACCCTATTTATCCTTGACACTCAACCAACTCTCACAGGTTTTGAAGAACTAGTTTAGGCAGAAACTGTATGAAGTAAATATGCGAGCACTTCGCTAACACCGATGTAAGTTATAATACATAAACAGTGTGTAACGAGTAGTAACATGTTATTCAGAAGATGAATTGCCTCGTCCCAAAGCTAAGCCTTACTCAGCTACTTTTCGTTAGCACAAAAATTGAAAAATAACTGTAATTTCTCTTAGGAAAAATGACAACAATAAAATTTACAACTATTAGAAAGTTATAGATAAATGCCACACAGGTATACTTCAAAAAATAAATATGTGATCTTATTAGTGACTACGATGGGTATCTTTAGAGTAGTAAAGTGATATCGACAGCTGCTTGCTGGAAATGACTAGTTATTTTGTCAGCAATTCGCATCCATTTTTAATCTACATACACTCTTTTAAATGTCATTTAAAAGAATTAGGCATTGAGTTGAAAGTATTTTTACCTAGAAACGCAGAAGATACAGTGAATCAGAAAACTTGCAAATGTTTTAAAGTCAAATTTCAAGCAATATCAAAAGATAACGAACGTCTAGGTAAATATTAGCGAATAAATGTAAGCTTATTTTGAGCACAAAGAAACTTACACTGAACTCTTAAGTTTTGACTGAAGCTCTTTTTTATCTAGTATCAAATTAAGTGAAATGCTGCAAGGGGTTTTGTCCTCCATTTTTGAGACGTTTTCTCGAAGTATTGGTTCAGGGCAAAAGAGTATTGACAGCCCCTTGAACCCTGGGCGAATTGACAGTCACCTAAAGATAAATTAAGGCTCCTCATATAGATTTACAATATGGATTTATATGCCAAATTACTTGTGTGAAACCTCATACACCTGGTAGTGTCGTTATAAAGAAGACTGAGTAACTTTGATTTGTGCTGACTTTGACGTCCTTCGGAAATGACCTTGATTTAGCGTGCTATAAAACCAAAGCTTCAAATACCTCAGATGGTTATTTAAAGAGCAGAAAAAGCTTTCGCTTAACTGGCTCCCGCATCATGAATCCGTTGGTCACTAGCTCATGGGGTTTTTAACCTGTATACAAGTGAAGAGAAAGCAAATATGACTGTTAAAAGTTGAGAAATCAGTTAGATCTGAGTATATCCCACTCACATTTCTAGTAAGTATCAAGCCGGCCTTTAAGAGGCGCGAATGGAATAATTTGCATCAATTCCAAGTGGGGAGCATTCCAGAGTTCAACAACTCTTAGAAGATAGAAGCTGTGGCTAATATATAACCTGCCATCTAACATTGGTAGTGCGGGGTAGAAAACCGAGGGTTTTGATCTCTCACGTCTAATTCTTGTGAACTGGTCCCTTTTTTGTCTGATCCTGCTGTGGGCAAGGAAACCTCTTTTGTTTCCTGCTTTTAGATCCGGTGGGGTTGATTTTTATGGGTTATTAATTATTGTTGTTATTTGTCCCCGCCTGGTTAACTAGTTCACTAGTTACTACCCGGTCCTAAGCCCTGGTAAACAGGGAAGGCTGAGCATACAGCTTGCAACCCTACCCCCTAAAACAAATCTAACCGCTAAAGAAACTTCACAGCACAAACAAAATACAAAAAATAAAAACAAAATTACTCCTCGCTGGAATCGGGGAGGCGAAATGACGCCAGTTGGTGAAAGCCTGCCTTCGGGAAGCCATTTGGCCGATGTGCCTAATCTCGATGGAGCGAAAGTAAACGTGGGGATATGGAATGTCCACACCATGTTTAAACCCAGCAAGGTAGCCTAGATTGCAAAGTAGATGAGGAGGTATGACATTGAAGTGTTAGGAATTTGCGAAAGCAGATGGAATGGGAGTGGACTCTCTAAACTGTCAACTGGAGAATCAATGATCTACTCCGTTACTGTCACCCAGACGACAACCACGAGCACACTGAGTTATGGAGTGGCTATCATGATGTCCCCAACAACACGGAAGGCTCTTATACAGTGGGAACCAATCTCCTCCAGCATCAGGATCATGACAGCAAGGTTCAACTCAAAAGGAAGGAAGGTCACAATCATAAAATGCTAGGTTGTGCACCTACAAATATTGCAGATGAAAAGAAGAAGGAGGAATTCCACAGACAACTTCAACCAGTTGTGGACAAGATTTCAGTTGGCGACATCAAAATTCTAATGGGTGACATGAATGCCAAACTGGGGGTGGACAACACAGGACGAGAACTAACCATGGGTTGAGAAGCGCTCGGTGAGGTGATGAACGAGAGTGGAGGGTTGTTTTCAGAATTCTGTGCATTCAACGATTTGGTGATTGGGTTAGGCAGTGTGTTCAAGCACAAGGGTACCCACAAAGCGACCAACATGGATTTCACCAGACACCAGGACACACCACACTAAAAATCAGATCGACTTTATCTCAGTGTGAATAAAGTGGAGAGGCAGCCTACTTGACACAGGGTGAAGAAGAGGAGCAGATGTAGGCTCACATCACTGATTGTCTAGTGCAAGAAACCTTCCAAATGAAGTTGAAAGCCTTGAATTCAAGGGCGTTGGTGATAGACCACAGTTCAGGTTTACCACCCAGAACAGAGACTGAAGGACGAAACTACAAAGGAAATCTTCACGATAGCCATCAAGATAAAATGGGAGATATCGAGGAACATCCGTGAAGCAACCTGTGTGTAAGAACACTGGAAGTTTTTAAAAGCCATGTGGAAATAAAGGTGCGTAATCGTATTATGAAGGAAGCAGAAGGAAGAAAAGGAATGGAATGGATCCCGACGGACACATGGAAGCTGATACAGTAGGGAGATGAGGATGATGAAGCAGGAGACAAACAAGTGCAGTGCAAGGATGAACAGCGAAAAGAGGATCTGAGTACAATGTATAAAACACTGGACAAAGAAGTGAAGAAGAGTGTGCGGAAAGACAAAAGACACTTCTACGAAACACTGTCAAGTGAAGCAGAACGGGCTGCAGGTATGAGAGACCTGACAACATTGTATTATTTGGGCAGGTTACTATTGGTTGGGGAGGTGGGGGTGGAGGGAAGAGATCAACACAGATGAAACCAATAAAAGATGATGAAGGAAGTCTAATCGTCAAAGAAGAGAAACAAAGGAGACGATGGGCTGACCACTTCAAGAAGCTCTAGAATCGACCACCACCTGCACTTCGTCCAGAAATGCCTTCTGCAGCCCAGTCGCAGAACTACAAGTGAACATAAATCCTCCAACAAAAGTGGAAGTCCTGAACGCCACGCTGTAAGGCTAGTGAAATATGGTAAAGCAGCAGGACCAGGTGAAATCCCACCAGAAGCACTGAAAACAGACACAGAGACAATAGCGGACATGCTCGCACCACTATTGCAGAAGGTCTGGAAGTAAACGAAGGTACCTAGAGGTTGGGATAAGGGTTACCCGATGAATCACGCTCCTGCCCTCCCAGAGCAAGCAAAATATTAAGCCGCATCATGTTGGAGAGACTAAAACATGCGCTGGATTCAAAATTACGTCCGGAACAAGCAGTCTGGATTCAGGAAGTAAAAATTATGTGTGGACCAGATTGCAACACTACACTAGGCATCATCATAGAACAGAGTACGGAATGGCAGTCAAATGTCTACCTCAACTGCATCTACTTTGAGAAGGCCTTTGACAGCGTCGACCAAGAAGTAATTTGGCAACTGCTTCAACACTACGGAATACCGGAACCTTTATCAGCCTCATTCAACAACTATGTGAAGATGCCACATACCAACCAAGTAATTCACAATGGGAAGCTCAGCTCAGTGATGCTTTTGAAGTGAAGACAGGAGTGAAACAAGGCTGCCACCTACTATCACCCATGATATTCCCGATTGTGTTGTGGTGGACTGGATCATGCAACAAGCAGTGGGGAGCTGTGAGAAGAAGGGGATACACTGGACCGTGGAAAAGACTCGGGAAGAAGATTTGGATTTCGCCAACGATGACTTGTGTCTAATGTCACACAAACTGGAAGATCTACAGCGAAAACTAACAAGTTGACAGAAGAGGCAGGGCAGGGTAGTGAAGACGGGACTTCAAGTGAATATAGAGAACACAGAGGTAGAGGTAATGAAGATATTCAACCAACAACAACAGCAACAATAAGCTCCAATCACCATCAACGGGAGAAACTCAAATGAAGTAACCTCCTTCACCTATCTAAGCAGCACTGTTCCAACTACAGATGCAAAGCTGAGGATGTCAAAGCCAGCCACTACAGACATTCATCAGCAACTGCCTACGTTCGCTACTTTAGATCGGATGGCAGAATAATACGAATGAGCAACAGGCAACTGTAGGAACGAACCGACCAAGAACCCATCGCTCATCAAATATGCAGAAGAAAGTGGAAATCGAGATGGATTGGGCATACACTGAGAAGGCCGCGTCAGACCTGGCGTGTGATATCGTCAGATGGTCTTTTCAGTGTATACCCAAACCATCTACACTTCCACTTTCTTCCGCATATTTGTTTGGCCGTAGGTTCTTGGTTTGTTTGTTTACAGCCAGCCGGAGTTATTTGTTGCTTTTTCTTGTCATTCTGACCGTCTGATCTTCAGTAGCGAGCCAGTGTAGGCAGTTGTTGACGAATATCTGTAGTTTATTGGAAATCCCTTTCGTGACCCGCCAAGTCTCTGAGCCATACAGAAGCACTGACTTGACTGACGTTGGTGTTGAAAATCCCGACCTTGTTCCACATGCTGAGTGCAGTGCAGAAGATCTCCACACTGATTTCAGGTTAATGAACGCCTCTCTTGCTTTTCCCATCCTGGCTGGCTTTGACATCCTCAGCTTGCATCTGTAGTTGGAACAGTGCTGCTTAGATAGGTGAAGGAGGTTACTTCATTTGAGTTTCTCCCGTTGATGGTGATTGGAGCTTATTGTTGCTGTTGTTGTTGGTTGAATATCTTCATTACCTCTACCTCTGTGTTCTCTATATTCACTTGAAGTCCCGTCTTCACTACCCTGCCCTGCCTCTTCTGTCAACTTGTTAGTTTTCGCTTGTAGATCTTCCAGTTTGTGTGACATTAGACACAAGTCATCGTTGGCGAAATCCAAATCTTCTTCCCGAGTCTTTTCCACGGTCTAGTGTATCCCTCTCCTCTCACTCCTCACTGTTTGCTGTATGATCTTTTCATAGGTTTGTAATTGGAATTTGCATTGATGGGGAGCTGAGATATTTTGAGTAGATTTGGGATCTTTCGAGGCTCCTGTCTGTGTAGATGTCCGAATAGGAGGCATTTGGGAAAGGTGTACGGGAATTACCCGAACGTTAAAGGTAGATAGCATGAGTGTAGTTCTTACAGAAGAGTTAATCGGAAAAGTAGGGTATCGACAGGGGGATAGTGAAGCGTAAGTAGAAAGTAAGTAATGGTGGGCTTTTGAGGCTAGTAATTCCAAACATGCTACCCGTTTTCATAGGCAACATGGCTTTTCTCCACTGGTCATGGTGTCTAACATTCGTGCTCATGCTGATACTCTATATGTTCGGGAAACCATCTGACAGGAACGTCAGGCTCTATCTTCTGGCAACAAGGGATCTCTAACAAAGGTTCTCAGGTCCAGGCTGGCGTCATCTAAATCTAAAGCAATTAAATGCATTATTAGTGACGGTCAGGTGCACAATGACCCTAAGCAAATGGTGGAGATCTTCAGTAACCTCATTGCTGCCTCGGTGATAAATGACAGTGATGCGTTTGTGTTACAGTGGTCAAGAGTACCTTCCTCTAAGATAGAAAACGTGGATCTTACAGTACAAAACATTTCTGCGGCGAATAACACTATTAAACCTCGTTTTACTAATGGTCCAGATGAGATGACCGCTGTTGTCACAAAAAACGGAGGTGAAGACTTACCTCTGTTGCTCCTGAAGTTATTTCCATGTCACTCAATAGTTCATGCCGCCCCTGCATCTGGAAAACTA